GTGTGTTTCTTGGGCTCAGTAATAATGGTTTGACAGAGTCGAGTCTCAGAGGAACATACTTTATGATTGGGGATTTTGGAACTTAGGGGGCCAGTGCAAGTCACTCTCTTTTCTCAGAGAACAATCTCCTAGTAGGCAGGATAGGGTTCTAGGGTTTGCTAAAGTTGTCAGTGAAGAATGAAGAGTTCTCCACTTCCTGCCTTTGACTTCCTCCATTGTTCACTTCCTTTTTTCAATTCCAGTGTAAGATCCAGCTACCACAGGCCTGAGTCTGGCTGTAGGAGGCACTGATTGAAAAGCATATGTATAATATTAAGAGGCAAGGAAAGTATCAGGAAGGATAGATAGGCTGAGGTGGTCCCCATAAGGCTGGCCAGCCTCTGGCTAATTTCCCTGAGGCAGCGCTAAGGGAAGAGAGTGGTGAGGAGGTGGAGGAGGGAACTCTAAAGGCAGCCAAGTGCACTTCCACAAGGATATTAACTGCCTCCATCACGTCTCCTGGTCTGGGAAAGGCCATGCCCATAAATTAGGGCCTGGAGCCTGCCAGGCAGAGACTTAATGAAGAAGGAGATGGACTTCAGTCAGAGCAGTGTCTCTAGAGGTCACAAGTCTGGATGGAAGAGGAACCTGAAGCCAGATTGAGACAGAAATTTATCCAAAGACACAGTCAAGAGGAAGGAGCTGGTTTCTCCTGTCCACTGTTCAATCCCCAGCACTCATCACATAAAACAGACTCAGCTAATATTTTTCAGTGATCAAATGGCATGACACGTTGAGAACTGAAATTAGACTAACATTCAGTTCTTTGGCATCTTGCTGGGCCTCCCATGTTGTGGGGAGATGGATAGGCCAGTTCACAAGAAGGCCATCATGGCTTTTTTTGGTCTCTGGATTCTAATTTGAAAGGAAATTTCACTGCCCTGGAGGTCTGGCATTGTTCACTTGCCCTCCACTCTCCCCAAGCCTCTGGGCCTCTGCTCACCCTTGCCTTCCAGCACCATCCCTTGTATATATCAGAAGAGGAGGCTGGCTAACCATTGGGGCCTGGGCACTGTGGAGATAAGAACTGGAATAGCTGAGAGGTATCAGGATGTTAGGGGCAGGGCCAACCAGACCTCTTTTTCCTTTGAGGTCTCTTTTGGGCCTCCACGGTGACTTTTCTTGTATCCTACTGCTGGTCTGGCCCCCTGGGGGTACAGCTTAGATCTGATTCTATTCTATGTCTAGTGCCCAGCACAAACCTTGGCATGAAGAGGGGTAGAAGGGAGAAACAAGCAGGCTCTGCAGTAAATATCATGAGATGGCTATCCCACCCCACCTATCCCGTCTCCCACTCCCCTGATCTCCCCTCCTCTCTGCAGAGGGCAGAGGTCCCTCCTGTGCTTCCCAGTGATGGTGGAATGTGAAGAACTCAGACCTGACCTACCCATAGACAATCATCTTACCTGCGCACAGCCAGCCATTGCTGATCTCCATTCCTTATGCTAACAACTCCTTCCTGCCTCCAGACCTTTGCACTAGCAGGTATCTCTGATCTTCTCTGCTCAGTTAACTCCTACTCAGTCTTCAAAACCCTGTTCAAATGTGACTTCCTCCAGGAAGTCTCCTTGAACTGGATCTGAGCCTTTATTCTAAGTTCTCTGTTTCCAAGGATTTCTTTCTTTTTTTTCTGGACACTGATTAAATATAACAGCCCTTACTCCCTCTTTCCCAACTTGAATTATTAGAGTCATTAGGAGCAGTAGAGTTGTGTTCAGTAAAGGCTGAATGAATGGTTTGGTTTGCAGATGTGGCAAGGCTCAGGGCCCCTGGGCCTCTGCTGAGAGTAAGTTCAAAGGCCACTGACAGGCTGCAAACAGCAGCCAAGAGAAGGTATTTATTGGGAATCAGTGAGTGACACCAAGGTTAACTATCAACTGGCATATAGTAGACACTCAATTAGTGGATTTTTGACAACTATTGATTTAAAACTTAACCGAAGCTCACATATAAAAGCCTCAGAGGATTTTTGTTGACAAGTGAACTCACAGCTAATAGCATGTTCTATTTGCCAAAGCTTAGTTTTGAGTTTTATTTCAGTCTTGGGCTATATTATCAGAGGACACGTCTCTGGAACTGGGGAGGTGAGTCTGTGTTGGAAAATTCATTATCTTTTTATCCCAGGGGACTGGCAGGTCTCTTTCTGAAGGTCTCTGGCAGATGCACGTGTTTCAAGACCATTTAACTCCTTCCCATCAGGAATAACAGGGAGAACCAAAAACAAGACAGAGCAAAATGAAGCCACCGCTGTGGAGGTGATTCTGACTCGCGTTGACCCTAGAGGGTTGAGTATAATTGTCCCATAGGGTTTTGAAGACTATAGATCATTCTCCCTTAGAGAGCTGATAGGTTCAAACATATGACTTTTCAGTTGGGAGCCAAATTTAACCCATTGCACCACCGAAGCTTCTAGGAAAAGGGAAGGGAATTGCTAGGAGCAGAAAAGGGGACACAAGCAATGTCTTCTACTCCGTGAATAACTGCCCTGGGATGAGGCATGTTTCTGGCCCCAAGGCAAAGCTGGGCTTGTCAGAGAGTCTTAGGCAGACACCTATTGCACTAAAAGGGGAGTTCGTCTGAGAGGGTACTTCTCCTTGAGGCAGCTGAAGAGGCTTCCCCATTACATCTGAGGTCTTTTCCAACTTTTGGGGGCACATTTTCTAGGACTGTGGTCTTAAAAGTCTAAACGGCAGATTTCTGTACTCCTTTGTGATCTTGAATGCATGCTAATCCTGCCTGGGACCTGGTGGAGGGAGGAACTCTGACCTTACTGCCTTTAAGTCGGAACCGACGCATAGTTGACTTTCCAGTGAGTTCACTGAGGCTGTATATGTAAGGAGGTTGTCTATTTTCTCCCTCAGAGATGCTGGTGTATTCGAACAATCAGAAAGGTGCTACTTTTGGGTAAGCAAGCACAGCTCCCTAGAGATAAGAGCTCCAGACCCAACCTACCTATCATTTCATGCCACAGAACTCACAGCCTCACTGCATCCACATCTTCTGTCTCTATGTTACTGCTTCTCTCAGCATTCCTCTCACTTCCTCCCACACCCTGCCCTCCCTCCCACAAACTAGAAGAGTATGGCACGACACAGGACACAAGGGAGTATCAAGTCATTCATCAGAGTGGATGATCCCTAAGCAGCAAATGACCCTTATTTCCTCACTGACTGCAGAGAGAATTAGCCACCTCTGAATTGCAGTGGCTAGGTTTCCTTCTGAAGAGCAATGTCTCAGGCTAACTACTAGCCCCCCCATCCCCTGCCCCCTCCCTGGCAGTGAGGAGGAGTGGAAGGGAAAAGGGATAAAGAAGAAACTCAGAGTTCTACCTGGCTGTGGAGAACCCTATCTCAGAAAACAAAAAACCAGACTGAGTTCAGAGAGCAACACTGCCCCAATGGGAAGTTCCTCTGTGTGTTAGACCTCAATTCTGCTAGGTACAATAAAGGCTCAGTGTTCCAGGAAAGACAAGGGTCACTGGGCCACTCCAGAGTGACCTAACGTACCCTCCCACATGCCCCCACCCCATCTATGTCCCAAGGTCAGCAGGAATGACACAGCAGAGTGATGGTGATTATTGCAGACTTTATAGAAAATGGCCCAAGGGAGATTTTCGGGAGTAGGGTGAGAGAAGATAGACTTGAAGCCATTACACTGGCGGAGGGTAGTAGATTCCTGTGTGCAGAGGCAGCACAGGCCAGCCATTCTGCCTGACCTAGGGGTGGGAAGTCAGGGAGAGGCCGCCCCCTCCCCACTCACCAATTGTGCTTTGGGATCATGCAGAAGGCCGGGCTCTGAGGCTCTGACCCTGGACAGGAGGGCTTGTGCCTGAGACAGAAGGTAAGACCTTCTTCCCTTTCCAGATAGCATACAGGAGGGACAAGGAATCTCCAGGAGAGAAGAGCCATGAGGAGTGTGAAAATGAATGGGCATCAGCTCCCAGACCTTCAGAGCCCACTCCATACCCCTCTGAGGCCATGATGGATGGTGATCCTGGGTCTGGGGCTTAGCCATGCACATTACACCTGCGACACTTTCTCCCTCAGATGAAGACTATGTGGCACCCATCTTGCAGGACTGGGAAATCCATCTTGGGAAGGATATGGGAAGTGGGGACATCCCAGCGATGGGATTCCTCACTGGTCCTTGACTTACTGAGTAGCTGCGTGCTGGGGACAAGGGCTGAGGATCAGTCACTGCCCTGGTAGGAAACAGCTGAGGACTTGCTCCCCACTAAGGCTAGACAAGGTTTGTCTGTCTCATTGGGAGCTGAGCCTCAGATCCCAGCTAAAAAAAAAAGGGTTCTGAGCCAGATATGGGGTGGTGAGTGGAAGAAAGGGTGTGAAATACAGCCCCAGAGGCCTAGAAAGTGGGTCTCCATGCAGGATGGAGGGCTCATTAGCCCAAGGGCTCAATGTCCACAGACCCTTCTGATACAGATGCTCTGCTGAAGGAACCAGAACACGATTTGGGGGTCCTTCATCCTAGAAAGGGAGCTTCGGCTCGGCCGCAGACAGGGTAGTTCAGGGTACCCAGGGTGAGCTCCAGTTGGAGAGACTGGAGCTCAAAGCAGAGGTCGGTGGAAGCCGTCTCAGAGTTTCCTGTTTGAAGGGTGGGGTTTCCAGGTGAGTCTTAAAAGACGGAGGGGTCTTTTGGTGGTCCAGGAGAAGTATGACAGAGCCTAGAGTGAAATATGAGGTTTCTGCAGTCAGGAGAGGTGTCTCAAGATCTGCGACGGTATGGGCTCACAGATTCTGGGGAGAGGTGGACTAGTTGGAACCTATGGATGGAGTGACGTCATGATCCAAAGGTCTCAGTCCGGTCAGGCATAGGTCTCAGAGCCCGTGAGTGACAGCAGATGTTTCATACCTACGGCTTCAGATCAGGCAGGGGCAGGCCAGGCAGCCCCAGTAAGGTTATCAGAAGGCAAGGGGCACCCCTTAATCTCCGACAGCTGAAGCTCAGAGACCCGAGCCGGGGGAGGTGGCACGCGAGCCAGCGGGGGCAGCTGGGGTGGCCGCGCGGCGTGGGTCGGCGTCCTGCTCATAGCGATAGTGGTAGCCTTCCATCTGGTCCCGACAAGCCTCGCGCAAATTGCGCATCCAGCGCTGGATGCCGCGGCGGTTTAGATAGAGCACCATAAGGAAGATGAGGCCGATGAGTGCCAATACTAGCCCGAAGAAGACGTAAGAGGCTTCTAGCTCCGGGCCTGCAAGTTCCACTTCTTCCCCGCGACCGTCGCCTCTGTCATCCGCGCAGCGCAGCCACGCCTCATCCAGCTCCAAGAAAGAGCGGTTGTGCAGAGGCCGCGGGGCGGCGCAGCGGAGGCGCCGCGCGTCAGGTACGCGCTCCGTGGCGTTGCGCAACCAGGCCAGCAGGGGGCGCGCGGTGCAGCCGCAGCGCAGAGGATTGTCGGCGAGCAAGAGGCGCGGTCCCAGGAGGTCGCCATCGCGCTCCAGCGCGCGAAGCTCGTCGGTGTCCAAACCCGGTAGCGCGTTGCGGCGCGCGTCCAGCTTCTCCAGGCGCGGCAGGCGCAGGGCAGCAGGGGGCAGGTGGCTCAGTGCGTTGCCCACCAGGCTCAGGAAGCGCAGCTCGGCCAGCGGGGTGAGCGCGGCGTCCAGCGACTCTAGCAGCGCGGGGCCACCCTGCGCCAGCGCTTGGTTGAGCTGCAGCGAGCGAAGCGCGAGTAGCCCGCGGAAGGCGGCGCCGCCCAGGACGCGCAATGGGTTCTGACTCAGGTCCAGCGCCGTTAGGCTGGGCAAGCCGTCGAAGGCGCCGTCCTCCACCACCTCAATGTTGTTTTGCGTAAGGCGCAACGCGGTCAGCAGCGGCAGGCGCACACCCGCCTCCTCCTCCCCGTCCGCGTCCCCGCCGGCGAAGGCGGCAGCGCGCAGCACGGTCAGGTTGGCGCCCACGATGGTGAGGTTGCGCGCGTCGGGCGGCACGTCCCGCGGCGGCTGCCGGAGCTCTGCGCCCGACGCGCAGCGCAGTAGCAGTTTGGGGCCAGCAAAACAGTAGCACTGGAAGGGACAGGGCGCGGCAGGCCGGCTCAAGGCTGCTGCCAAGAGCAGCAGTCCCCGCAGTAGCGGTCCCCGAGTCCCTGAATGTCCCGCGCACGGGGCCATCGCGGCAGCCCCTGCATCCAGCGTCCGGGCGGCTGCGCTCACCAGTGAGTTGGGAGCACCTGGTGGAGGTACGGGTGGGGCAATCCCTTGAAGCTGAGCGGCTGGCAGTCTCAGTTGGTCCGCCCGTATCTCTTTAAAGTCCGAAGAGCCTTCCGTTTCCTGGCAAGGAGTGCGAAGGGTCAGATGGGATGCAGAACCCCCTGCCCCTGGTGCCCTTCTCGCCCTGAACGCCGGCCTCCGAGTTCCGCGGCCGTTCCGGGCTCGGAGCCGAGTGGGCAGGGTTTGCCTCACCCCCCCCCCCCCCCTCCCCGCCTCCTGGCCTCCTCCTCCGCCCCCAGCGGAGTCTCCGCGCCCTCCTTGCCCAGGGAGGCGGGGTGGGAGGCTCCTGAGAATAGAGGCGTTTGAGCTTTGTCTACCCCCTCAGACTCCAGAACTGCTGGGAAGTTTGGCTCCACAGTCTCCGACTTGTATTCCCCTTCTTCTGCCGCCCCATCTCCATGTTTAAGTTAATTCCTTCCTTCTGCCCATCTGGCACACGTGGGGCAACCGGGCTGGGAAGAGCCGGCAGGTGGGTCAGCCTGGGGAGTGAGAGTTTGTGAGGAGGACGTAGTGCAATCGCCCCCACCCCACCCTCAAAGCTGAGAGACGGTTTGAGGTGGGTTGAGGAAGTCACTCCTTTTCAGTTTTCTAATCTCCATGATGGGGGCACGGCTTTGCAAGGAGACACTGGAAAAATCCGCATCCTTGAGCCCCTCTGCGTCGCCAGTTCTAGTGGCACCAGTCTTTTCTTGATCCAGAGCTCATCCCTTCCTCGGGTAATCTTCTCCAGCTCCTTCTCCCCTCCCCTGTTCCTCAACTCGGGAGGCTGGTCTTCCTCCACCTGGTTGCACTTCTTGCCTAAGCGCCCCTGGGCTCAGGGACTAGGTTAGTGTAATGAATCAGCTTTTTGCTTTGCCTCTGCTCAGGCACCACCTGGGTACCCCACTAGAGTCTCCTACTTGACCTGAGGACTCCTCCCCTCTAAACTACCCCTCCTGAGTAGGATATGAGGACTGGGAAGAGGAGATTTTTGCAGTACCGGGTCGGGAGACCGCATGGAAGGGTCAGAGCAGGAGTGAGGTCTGAAGTGTTTATAGGTTTGTTTTGTTCCGAATTTATAGATATTTTCCCCTCTCAGAATTAGGAAGCTGTGGACCTGATTTAAAGAGACAGACTGCTGAGGAGTGAGCCTTCCTGGTCTTGTCATGAATTATTCAGGCTGGAGGGCTTGACACTTGATCCTCTGGCTCTTCTGATACCAGCAAAGCTGGTTGGGCTATTCCCCAACCCCCAAGAATCAGTCTCTTTCTCCTGAACTGGGGATGGTTGTGGAGTTGACTGCTTCTCTGAGGTTATATTTAACAGATCGACCAAGGAATCAATACTACTTAAGAAGAAGAGGCAGACCCTGCGGTGGCCTGGGTATCAGGCAAGGACCAACAGCTGATGGTTGTGGATCTTAGGGTTTCCTTTCTCTCCCCTCTGTCTTTTTCTCAATCTCTCCCACCCCTTTTCAGCTCTCCCAGGTGTTGCCAAAGTAGAATAACTTGGCTCATGCAGAATGGAACCTATGTGTTCAGTAGAACATTGAACATACAAGATTAGACATGTACATATACATGCAAGCATGGCAAGTTTAATTATGTCCACATGTGAACAAATACAGATTTATGCATATATAGAGGTACATATGTGTGCCTGAGAAGGCCTGTAGACCCCTGAAATGCCTCATGTAAATACATGGCCCCTGTCATACATGTGCACATTTGAGCATAGGCTTAGGTATATCTTGGCATAAAGTGTCTGTAGATTCATATGTAATAGATTCTTGAACATGTATTCTTCTGGGCACGTGCAGATCCCTGGGCGTATTATCATTTACTCACTGTCTGTAAGCAAATGCATCCTGAAATGGCCAGCACCCTCAGAGCTTCCTCCCTCCTTGCTTGGTCTCCATGCCATTAATCTGTTGAGATAACAGGGCAGTGAGGTCTTTTTTTCACTAAGTACAAGTGGTCAAGTCATGCTCCAGGGTCTGGTGTCTCACTGTTACACTTCCCCTGACCGTGTCAGGTACAAACTGCACTGGGAAACAGGTGCCGAGTTTAGCACAAGACAGTTTTCTGGAAACGTTTGTAAATGACTGAATGAGTAGAGACCTCTTCTCTCCTGACAGGCTGCATAGAATTCCTTCAGCCTCTAGTTCTAAAGGACCACATCCTGGCTGCCAAATCTAGCTACCTCTTCCCAGTCCCCCATGGTGATTGGTTCCTGATCGTCTGATGGGTCCCCTGAGAAGGGGCTGCAGGGCAGCAGATAGCCTTTAGTGGGAGTTTTGGGACCCTTTATTTGGGGAAGATAGATCCAAAGAGAACCTAGAACCAGCAGGTGGCTGAGAAAAGACATTGATTTTGTTGTACTTACTTGTGGTCTTTTTATGAAGAGGAACGTGGCATCAGGATTGGAGGGAGACTCATCAGTAACCTGTGTTATGCTGATGACACAACCTTGCTTGCTGAAAGTGAGGAGTATTTGAAACACTTGTTGCAGAAGATTAAGGAATGCAGCCTTCAGTATGGATTGTGTCACAATATCAAGAAAACAAAGATTCTTCCCACTGAACCATAGGCCATGTCATGATGGATGGAGATGAGATTGAAACTGTCAACATCTTCATCTTGCTTAGTTCCACAATTAACACCCTTGGTACAAGCAGTCAGGAAATAAGAGATGCATTGCACTGGGAAAATCTGCAGTTAGAGACCTTTCCAAATTATCGAGGAGGAATCATGTCAGTTTGAGGACTAAGGTGCATTTGATTCAAGCCATGGTCTTTCTGATTACTAGCTATGCATCTAAGACCTGAACAATGAATAAGGAGACATAAAAAGAATTGATGACTTTGAGCCATGGTGTTGTAGAAGAACACAGAATACTCCATGGACAACCAAGAAAACAAATAGATATGTCTTGGAGAGGATGCAGCTGGAGTGCCCTTTGGGGGCAAGAATGATGAGGCTTTGCCTAACATATTTTGGACATATTGCTAAGATATGCTATTCCTTGGAGAGGAGCATGATGTTGGGAAGGGTGGAGGGTCAGCGAAGGAGAAGAAGACCCTCAACCAGGTGGATTGACATGGTGATGCTGCAGTGGCCTTTTCTGTGCCAGCAAGTGTGAGGATGGTGCAGGATAGGACTGGTTTCAGATCTTCTGTTCATTGGGTTGCTATGAGTCATATTTGACTCGATGATACCTTACAACAACAACATGTGACCTAGTGGCTAAAGAACTGTGCTGTCAACCCAAAGGCAGGTGGTCTGAATCCACCAGCTGCTGCCAGGAGAAAGATGGGCAGTCTCCTCCTGTGTAATTAATTTACAGCCTCTGAAAACCCATGGAGGGTAAGCTGTGAGTGAATTCTGATTCAGCCACCTAAAAACAGCGTCTTGTTTTATCGACTATGCAAATGTGTTTGGCATTATGGATCAAAACAAATTGTGGATAGCATTGCAAAGAATCAGAATTGTGAATGCGTAATTGGGCTCATGTGAAACATGTACATTGGCTAAGAGGTAGTTGTTTGGACAGAGCAAGGTTTAAAATCAGTAAAGGTGTGTGTTAGGACTGTATCTTTTTGTCATATTTATTCAGTCTATGTTGAGCAAATAAACAAGCTGGACTATATGAAGAACACAAACACAATATCAGGATTGGAATAAGACTCATTAATAACCTGTCACACGTAGATGGCAACATTGCTTGCTGAAAGTGAAGAGGACTTGAATCACTCACTGATGGAGCTCAAAGACTATAGCTTTCAGTATAGATTACGTCTTAACATAAAACAAAAATCCTCACAACTGGACTGATAAGCAACATCATGATAAGTGGAGAAAAGATTGAAGTGGTCAAGGATTTCATTTCACTTGAATCCACAATCAATTTCCATAGAAATAGTGGTCAAGAAGTCATTCTATTGCATTGGGCATATTTGCTGCAAAAGATGCCTTTTAGTGTTAAAAAGGAAAGATACTAGAAATCTACAGTGTGCCTGAGCAAAGCTTCAGTATTTTCAGTTGCCTCATATGCATGTGAAAACTGAGCAGTGAATAAGGATACTCTCATGGCTTAGTGGTTAAGAGTTGTGCTTATGCATCTCACTCCCTGACTTAAAATCCTACTACACTGCCGTGGTAGTCAAGACAGCATGGTACTGGTACAATGACAGACACATAGATCAATGCAATAGAATTGAGAACCTGGAAATCAGCCCATCTATTTATGGGCAATTGATTTTTGACAAAGAGATGAAATCAGTTAGGTGGGGAAAT